TGCCAAAATAAAAAATAAAAATATAAAATTCACCATTTGACTTTTAATCCGATAGAGAACATTCTCGAATTGGAAAGTGTGTCCAATAGTATCAGTTGCCGGATATTTGCTGAGACAGACAAAAACATGGCAATGACACAAAACATCAAATATAAATTATCGATTTTGATGGTTACTTCTTTTGTCTATACGCGTGTAGTCTTGTACACAGATATATTTACTAAGTTTACTTTAGTCTGACACAAGGCTACCCTCTGTAGAGGGCCACATACCATATAAATGGTTATAATAATTCTCTAGAACAGGTGGTCATAACTATTCAACTGGTTAATCATTAATGTAGTATTTGGCTCATCTGAAATGATACCAAAATAGGCTTTGTACTCAGCAGCGTCTATCAGAGAAGCCGGGTGTATCAGAGAATTGACTTGAGAGATAACCTCCTAACTGTAAAGTGCAGATCCGGATATTCACAAGATGCCAGCAGCCGTCCTTGAAATGTAAACACGTTGTCGACACAGCTACATTTAAAATGTGCGCCTGTGGAACAAAGTTGACCACAACCAGATATTGCACCAACACAAGAGAGAAAAGAAGAGAGTCTTACATCCTTCGCAGCGGGAGTATCTATGTTTGGATAACATCCCAAAGACACACCATCACTGGCTGATATTAATTCGCAAAGTTCGGAGTTGAATAAACAATAATTTTAAATTTAGTATCGTGTTCTCAATTGTCTGAGCTACGATAACATTTATATTCCTTTGTAGCGTTAAATAAAGTCTGTTTCTATACTGTCTGAAACTAGTCTCACTAATTCATCATCCTTAGAAAAGGTTACTTAATATTTCCTTCTACCCTTCTTCCCTTTACTATGTCCTGTAAGTGTCAAATTCTCCAAAACTACCTTCCTCATTACATGTCCTAAAAATGCTTCTTTCAGATTTTAAGAAGTGTGAGGATTTTTGTTTCATTTTCATTTAAAACTTTCTCGTTGCTTGAAAGCTTTCTGCATGATATTCTCGCCATGGTATGCTCAGCATTGTATACTCAGCATGATATGCTCAGAATTGTATACCCAGCAAATATATTCTGAGCATTGTATACCCAGCAATGATATGCTCAGCGTGGTATTCTCAGCATGGTTTCGTAGCTCTGTTATGTAATATATTCTTTTCATTTTTTCATCAAATTTATCATAAAGCCACTCATGCTGATAAACAGTTGGACAGAGTCTCTCGGGTCATTAATAGAAAGCAACTTAGTTTTGGAGGGGTTAAAATTAACAAGCCATCCCTTGTCCCAGTTAACAACAGACAACAGCCGCCAATTTTACCTTATCGGACGTACTATTGAGGCAGGAGGAAATGATTATGTCATCAGGCATAGATACCGACTTCAAAGCTGATGCCATCGGGAAGGTCATTAATGAAAATCAAAAAAAAAGTAGGCCCAAGGCTAGAGGGTATATAGATGAGGAACTGTTCAGGATTAACTTTCATTCTGCAATTTGATAAGAGAGACTGGATCTGATCTAAAATTTGTCAGAAGACACCGTAACTTTTCAGCTTTTGAAGAAAACCTGCATGCCAAACCCTGTTAAAAGATTTCGAGATGTCCAAATCTACAGTCCAATCTTCACCATTCTTATCTAGAGTTTGATAGACACTTTCTGTAATCATCGTCAGTATATCAGCAGTTGACCTGGAGATATAAAAATGCGAGGAAATTGACCAACATTCATTAATAGAAGAATACGCTTGTCTTTGTTTCTAACAAAATATTTCTTTATATTTTGTTTAGTTCAAGAAAGCATCTTTTACTATCCCAATGCGTCTTCTGTGTTCTTCCTGTCGTCTATTAGAAAATTTCCCTTAAATTCTTGTACTTTTGGAGATCTCGTCTTGATAACAATTCTTACAATTGATGGTAAGTCGTTAATTATCGCTTTCTTTTACGATGTTCTGTAGGAGTTCCTGTAATTTCCTTTCTACACTGTGTCATCTGCATATCTAATGCTGTTAAGTGTTTGCCAACCAATAATAAATACCGGTAGGACTTCTATTCACTGTTTCACTACTCGCTTGTTGTTAATTAATTTCTGCACTTTTTTTGCGTATATTATACAAATTCATCGTTATGTTCTGGTTAACGATAAATCATCAATCTATATATATATATTAGTCGAGTTATATATATATATATATATATATATTAAGAAATGGACAAAGTCCGACAATTTATTTATTAAAGACATTTTTATGCTTAACGTTCTTTTTTTTTTTTTTATATAGATACAAGTATTTAAGTAAATGCTCTGTTTATAATAAATAGTATTAAATAACATTTACCGGCCTGAATGCCGAGAAATTTTTATATAGTATACTTTATAAACTTCAATCTTCCATGAATCTCGTACATTCATAACTGCTCTGGCGTATCAAATGTAAACAAATGACGTCATATATTAAGAAATAGACAAAGTCCGACAATTTATTTATTAAAGACATTTTTGTGTTTAACGTTCTTTTTTTTTTTTTTTTTATAGATACAAGTATTTAAGTAAATGCTCTGTTTATAATAAACAATCGAAGATTGAAGTTTATAAGCAGTAAATTCAACATTGCCAACCGAACGTTCCTTTGTGGCCGAGCGGTCAAGGCACGTCAGCGTAAATGACGGTTCCATGTAGGATGCAGGTTCGAATCCTGTCAAAGGACGAATATTTTCTGTGAAAATTTCTCGGACATTCAGGCCGGTAAATGTTATTTAATACTGTTTATTATAAACAGAGCATTTACTTAAATACTTGTATCTATAAAAAAAAGAACGTTAAACATAAAAATGTCTTTAATATATATATATATATATAAATAATAGTGTTATACCTATATAAATTTGTTCATATCTACCTCAGTCACTTTATATGTATCTAGGTCTGTTCGTATCGAACTTTGCCTTTTCATACCTATCTATCTATATTAGACTGTTCATCTATCTATCTAAGTCAGTTTATATCTATCTATATTATATATATATATATGTTCATATGTGTTATGGAGTCTACCACTTTTTCATACAAGTGGACTCGCCCAGTGTGTATTTGTACTGCTGCCGGTGAATACCCGAGAGGTAGAGTAATAGAGAGAGTAAGAGTGTGAGGTAACCGCTTTGTTGCGAGCACGTAGACTCAGAAGGAAGTCATACTTCGATACTGAATTTCCCAGACTGTATATATATTATTATTGCTACTAACCGCATTTCTGGATCTACTAATCGTATTCCCAATTGTATTATTATGTCAATACATTTATTTGCTATATTTCATTCCTGCGTTTGTCATTCATTGGAGACCGGATTTCATCCCGGAATCCACAACAATATGTATTTACATTGTCCACATCTTCCGGGGTAGCTTGTTCTAGTTTCACGTTCCATGCCTCTTTCGGATGTCTCAGTTATCTCCATTTAACTGAATTTTGTTTACCGCTACAGTAGGCAGGTCCCAACTCTTTGGGTCAAGTCACAGGATCAAACCACCGATTTTATCCACTGGGCCATGTGTCCTTGACGTATGTATGAATTTTGGGGTCTTAAAAACTTAATCTTTCAGTAACCATTTTTACCAGAGCTCATATTGCAATTTTGTCGTTATTATTGCTTTTGTTTAGCACTCCGTATTACTAGTCCCCATATTGTATTCATTTCTATGTTTGGTCCTCTTAGGAGATTTTTGAGGCTTGCATATATATTGAATCCTTAAGTTTTCACATTTTCCAGTGATGTTCTCTGTCTAGTATTTCAACCTTATTCTACAGGGGGTTTTGATCTCCATTTTCTCTCCATATGTGGTCAGCTACGCCTGATTTTTCTATTTCTCCTTGTGTTACCGCTTTACGATGTTCTTGTAGTCTTACTTTAAGGGGCGATCCGTTTCTCCTTATTTCTTACCGTAGCTACACGGGATGGCGTACACACAGTCCTTAGACATGTTCTCATTTATTGGAGATTTGACTCGAAAGAAGTGACTGCGAAGTGTCGAACAACTTTTGAAGGTCGTCCTGATGTCATATGGACCACAGATCCTGTGTATTTTCTCCGATAATCACTTTATATAGGGAAGTCAGATTGAAACTGTTTTCTTAGTGTTATCATCCTCTTGTACCATTCTATCCAAGTTTGTCGGAGCTGCTGCCATTTATCCAGGGCAGTTGTTACGTTGTAGGGTACTGCTTATGCTAACCATTTTTTGATCATATGTGTCTGGGTCGGTTCATGACTTTTGCTGGAGGTTGTAAGCAGCGAAAGGTCTTTAAACCGTGTGGGTGGTGAGTTGAGGTACTCTCTGGTGAACGTTGGTTTGCTGTCTTGAAAGCTTGCTCTGTTCAGGAATGCGAGTTTGTTAGTTATCGTTTTCTCTCTCCATTGTGAACTGTAACGATGATCTTATTGAGTTCACATGGCCCAGTAGTAGCTGGACCTCTTTCTGGTGTGGCTAGAGTATGAATGTATCATTTACGTATCCAAGCCATAGGGTTGGCTTTCGTGATGTGGATTCTAATGCTATTTTTTCGAAGTATTCCATGTATGTGATTTTTATTGCTGGTGATAATGGCGAGCCCATTGTTAGGCCTTCATTCTCTCGATATATGTCTAATCCCATTCCGAAGTGTGTTGTTTGTGTACAGAAAGTCATCTCCGTCAAGTCATCTATTGGTATACTGGTCCGTTCTCCTAGAGATGAGTCCGAGGTCAATCTGTCCCTTACTACCGAGAGTAACTCCACCGTGGGTACCTTGATGAACTAATTCAACACGTCCAGGATCAATATCTGGTTGGATTGGATGGGAACATGTTGAGTATTTCCATGAGGTGTGCGGAATTTCGAACATATGGAAGATAAGGACAACAGTCCGAACAATGTAAATAATTACAATATCTCATCTCAGAAATATAGACAGATACTCTACATATGTATGTATGTATGTATGTATGTATGTATGTATGTATCTATCTATCTATCTATCTATCTATCTATCTATCTGAGTCAGATTTTATCTAAATTTGTCTTTTCATACCTATCTATCTATATTGATCTGTTCATATGTTGTTTCTATCTATCTATCTATCTATCTATCTATCTATCTATCTATCTATCTATCTATCTATCTTATCTTAGTCTGTTCACAACTATCTATCTATCTATGTTTATATCCATCTATCTAATTCACTCTTTTCATGTATTTCAGACTGTCCATATTTATCGATATTATTGCATAATTATCGATCTGCTTGGTCAATCAATTTTCTATATCAGTTTCTCTCCGCTCGAGTCTAAGGTCTGCGCTGCTCCGTGTGCAGCATAATTGAAATATTCAGTTTTGTAAATTCATCATATCTTATTGATACAAAGATATAAAGGAACGAATGATTTATGTGTTCCGGATAAGGTCGCTGGCATCGGATTCCAACAGCTTTAAATTAGAAATTAAATTGATATATAATAGCTGTGAAAGATAAATCACAATGTTTTGTTTGATGAGCAACAAAGACTGTAATTTCATTGGACATATATTATAAATTTAACATTTATGTTACATAATCAGTTGTATTATTACTTTTCTGCATCCCTACTTACAAACAACAGTGCACACACATACGTACATGCACACATGAATATATACACATAAATTCAAATACATACATATCTACACAAACACATACACATACATATACTAACCATACATATACACACACATATATATGCAAACACATACATAAACACATACAAACACAACACATACATTTCTTCTTCTTCTTCTTCTTCTTCTTCTTCTTCTTCTTCTTCTTCTTCTTCTTCTACATAGGTTACGCACCACTTTCCTCTGCACCTCTTGCCTTCAGGATGTCCTGCGGGTATTGAATTTTCAAATTCCTTTCTCTCTCCTTATGTTTCTTAGAAATACCAACTGTCGCTTTCTGATTCGAAGTATAAGTAATTTTGTTTCCTTTTTTTCCTTACAATTTCCCCATGAAAAGACGTAGGGCGAGCAGATTTCGTCAACAGAACTAGAAGCCTTCAGCTTCGAACTGAAATTTACGACCGGAATAAAAAAAATGGTGGCGTCATAAACACCAAAATAAATAAATAAATAAAAAAAAAAACAAACTTGACTTCACTAAATGATTAACAGAAGGGAATATTTACACTATTAAAAACACACACACAACACATACCTAGACGCTTTTGAACTCTATCGTATTCAAATGCATCTACGCGGCCTCGTGGATGATTAATTATTTTCATCCTATGTGTCTTAAAGTCACTTAGCACTTTCGCTCAGAAATTCTCGCAACTCCATCGCTATATCCATGGCATATGTTCTGGAGAGCTACACTTACTTGGGTCCCACCAGCTGTAACCTTTGCTGCTGGGACCTACGATGCCACATACACAAGCATGAATCATTTTCCTTCATTCCGTATTCCATTGGTAAGGAGGAAATTTAAATCGGGCAGCTTCTTCTCAAGAACTAATGCCTTGTGTAACAGAATCCTGAGAGGATGCTTTCCTAGCCCCTACAAACTTGACGTCTTCGGGTGTAGGGTTACTCATAATCATTCTGCATAACCCCAAGAACTTCTCACTTACACCTTAAAACCTTCGGCCGATGTCGTCAACACATTGACCGTCCTGGATATGATGATATATCCGACAGCAAGGCAACTGATCGGGAGATAGGAGGCTTTGAAGAGCGTAGAACTGAACCACCTCTTAATTGATGTTTTTTCCCAAATCCACCCAGACCTGGGGTGGTAGCACCTGTTAGCGTTCCTGTTATGAGAAAATAGTGAATCTCCAAACAAAAATCAAGGGAACATTTCTATAGTAAAATTACCAAAAATACAACAATAAAAAGTATAAAAATACATTTTTATAGTAAAATTACCAACAATACATTTTATGATCTACTAACTCTATATCTAAAAACATACGCTTACCTTGAAAGTACAAACTAATATACAAAATATCTGTAGGTGAAGCCATAAAATTGTGTACAAAATATTGAGATGTCGGCATTGCCGCTAGACAAAATCAGGCAACCAATCAATCAACACATTGAAGAATATAAATAATAATAAATATAAAGTCATAACGAACTTAGATATTAAATCATTATATACAAACCATTATATACAAACAGGCCATTTGTCAAAGGTTGAAACTTTATAAACAACTACTTCACAAAATCAAAAATAAGCCTTTCACTTCGCCCACAAAATCATAAAAAATTGTCCAAACCAAAATGTTTTTCACATTCAATAATTTTTACAATCAAAATCCGACCAACCTATATGTTCTATCAACATAATTTTAGCTTGTCTTTTTTTAGAATTCTTATAATCCTGCCCATTTCAAAATATCTTACCCCAAAAGGCTGACTACCTTCGCTCTGCAGATGACAACTTACTAATATATCAAGACAAAAGTAAATTATTAGAGTTCATAAATAAACTAAACAAAATCGAAGCTTCAATTGAATTTCCATATGAAAAATTAACAAATAACATCTGATCTTATCTTGAAATTCTGTAAATTGGATTTAATACATGTTTAAAATTAAGTGTCTATCGTTAAAAAACAAAAATAAACGGCCTCATAAATTTGTCCTCATGTTACAACAATAAGTGCCGAATGACTTTTGTCTTTCACGCCACGCCTTTTTTATGTTCGGTGAATCTTTCGAACTGGAGTCGGGACAAAAGTTAGAAGAAAAACGGAAAAAGTGTGAATAAGCTAAGAAATATTTCAGGATTAACTGATTTAATGTCTACTTTTTTTAAATATTCTGTTTCGCTCCATGCAAGGCAGAAAAGCCAATAAGGCACAAGGGGTTACTAGGTGTGGAAGAATTAGGAACAGAAACATTAATAATGAGCGGGAAGAGAAATGAGTAATCAGGGAGATAGCAGATAATGATTGACATTGCATTTAAAGTTTTTGTCGATTAAAGTTGGCTACACTTAAGGAAAGCCAGGGAACAAACAGGCTATAAAGTAGTAAAATCATCAATACCAAAAAATGAGGAAAGGCTTCTTATTAATGAATACAATAATGTTAGTAATTCATCTCCGAAAACAATAATAACAAGGCCAGAGAATGTATCACCCGAAACACGACGATCAAAATAGACGAGAAGGAGATATTCGCCCAAATAAATCGAGAAATAATAACACTTTGTCCCAGGAAAGTAGGAAAACGTTGTGGTCATCATCATCAGTCGGCTTAGGTCGAAGTGTCGTTGCACATTTGAGCACCTAACCTATCCCACTGCATATATGAGTTGAAAGCCAGGGAGTTATTGATTTATGCATGTCGTGTTTTGGGCAAGTAGACTTCTTCCAATTTAAACCACAGCTGATTCCCTCCAAATTTGAAGGCTTGATTTGGTCAAGGACACATGGTCATTGATTCTATCAGTGGACCCTATCTGGTCTGGTCGTTGATTATAGTCTAGGGAGCCCTCACCCCATTGAGGCCGTTATACTACAGCACTGTCTGCATACATCAGTATGGAGACTAATTTACACAAGTGTGCTAGTTAGTCCGTCCTTTGTGTCTAGAAAAGAATGCTGAACTGTTTTGTTATATCAGTCCTCTTATATGAATGCTGGGCAATCTCTTCACAGATGAAGAAGAAACTTGAAGCAACATAAATGTGGTTCCACAAAAGGAAAATTCCATGAACCAAACATGTGGAAAGACGAAATTTCAGAGAAAATGGAAACTTATACTTAAAATCAAGAAGAGGCAGTTGCAATTTCTTGGGCACATAATAAGGAAAGATGATTTGGAAAATTTAATACTCATAGGACAGATTGAAGGCAAGAGAAAGTTAAGCAAAGAACGGATAACCTACTTAATGAGTTTGAGCAAATGGATTACGGAGCAAGGTTTAGGAGAGATGACAAAAAGAAAAAAATATTAAGAGCTGCAAAGGACAGGAAAGTTTGGAGAGCCATAATCGCCTACGCCTGAAGGGTCACAGCACAAAGAAGAATGGTGTTTAGCTACCATCCTACTCCTAAAACGTGTTGGAAGAACCGGTTTAGTCGCCGATGACCGCAGAATCCGGCAGGTAGTATTGGGTTACATGGTACCTGGATCATTAAAAAAAAGGGACTATTTAATCTCTCTTCCGACAACACTTGTAAGCTTTCTATTTCGTTTTATCTCTACAATCAATAAGAAAACTTTTACAGGTTTGCGATAACAAAGTAACTCGAATAATTTCCGCTAATTGTATAAAACAATCACATACACAGAACATGTTTTTATGTTAGATTTGTTCTCCTGATTGTGTTGCCAGATACGATTGATTTTGAGAAGAAAATAAGCGCACACGTATATTAGTGTTTACAAACGTGTAGGAAGTTTTAATGGCGGCTAATTTTGAGATGTAATTTGTGTCCTCATGATATTAGCGAAAGCAATGTAATCAATGGAAAAGCTTTGTGAATCAAATCCAATTTGAAAATGTCAACCAGTGGAAAAATAGCATTGTACAAAAAAAAAAAAAAAAAAAAATCATGGCGAGTTAATTGTTCTTATTTTTCATGAGTTTAATCTCACTGTTAAAACACGATAACAATATTGAATTTAACAATTAGATTCTATTTAAAAAAACAAACAAAAACTTCACGTCACTCAATATTTTCTTGCTTATGTTCAATTCTTCCTAATAGGAGTAGATAGGTTCGCCTATCGCCCGGTTCACACTTCTTTCACGTCTTTTGTTTCTTGTTTACAATTGGATTTGCGGTTTTTTCTTCAAAAGTTTTCTCATTCTCTTTCACTCTCAATAAACCTTAGCGTTTTAGTGAAATTAATGTCTTGCTTAGAATAAGTATTAAACTAAACAACATTTTATTTACCACTGAATAATTTTGAGGTTTTATCAAATTTAACATAAAATTGTATTTTTTCTTTTTCTTTTATGTCACAGAAGAGTATACTGTCTAGGGATAGGTAACTAGGTTAAAAAAGAGACCACAGATAGAGAGTAGTAATTCGCCCATCTTTGTGTAATAGATTATTCTGGTAACTTAAATCTCACTGGTAACTGGTAATCTCATTCTGGTAACTTAAATCTTAAATTTCACTGCGTGCGACATTTTGTGTACGACATAGCATTATTAACCTCTCTCTGAGAACGAATCATGTTCGTCATTCTTTTTC